AGTTATTCAAGAATTACGTGATTCATACAATAAAAATACAAGTAGTCGACCCATTCGTAAACGACTTCGTTTAGATGTTATAACACGGTGGAATTCGACATATATAATGATAAAAATATTTTTAAAATATCGTCTTATATTAATTAAATTATTTGAAACAAAATATCATTTAGAAATTACAAAAAAACAACTTGAAAAATTGACGTCGTATGAATTAACAGTTGATCATTGGACTGTTGCTGAAAGTTTACTCCGTGTATTAAAACCATTTTATTCTGCAACAAAATTGATTAGTGGATCAAATTATCCTACGATTGGAATGACAATCTGTATGTTACGAAATGTACAATCGAGATTTTTAGAAAATAATACTAATGATAGTCCTTTAGTACAAAATATGAAAAAATGTTTATTACAAGCACTGAAATATTATACTGTTTCTGATACAAATCAACATAAGTTATTAATTGTAAGCTTTTATTTATCTGCGTTCAGGGGATTTATTTTAGGTTTAGAGCTATTGCATTATATATCAATATTTTGAACACTTTTATTACCACCTTATTGGCCAATCTCTTTGAATTTAAAGCATGTTTTGACTTGTTTTGTTTCTGTTCTATTGACTTGAATTTTTTTATAACATAAAAATTTAAAGAATAGTAGGATATTTTAACTGTTTCTAATGGCTAAGGATTTTAAGAACTTATTTAACTAAATATTGACCTTAGACTATTTTCCATTTAAAACTAACTCGTCAGGGAAAACGAACTAGTTGTTATCTCATCCTTTTACTTATTCTTGATCAGTACATTCACACTAACAGTTTAGAACTTTTCGAGACTGAATGATTTTGAGAAAGTTTCTATTTTATAAATGATTAAAAAAACTGTTAACATAAATTATTTAGTATCTTGTTATCAATTACATAATAAATGAATGCCTTTTTATATATTTAGTTTCATTCATATTTTGACCCCAGAGGTTTGTCCATGTTAAAAACAACGGAAATTACATCGATTGAGCGTGAGCTTAAACAAATAGTTATTGATAATAATATACAAAAATT